GCTTCTCACATCCAAATTCATCCTTTATCAACTCTCTTTAATTAGCTCTCACATCCAAATTCATCCTTTATCAACTCTCTTTAATTAGCTCTCACATCCAAATTCATCCTTTATCAACTCTCTTTAATAAGCTCTCACATCCAAATTCATCCTTTATCAACTCTCTTTAATAAGCTCTCACATCCAAATTCATCCTTTATCAACTCTCTTTAATAAGTTCTCACATCCAAATTCATCCTTTATCAACTCTCTTTAAAAGTACAGGTAGGTATTTCACCAGCTCTCTCAGGTTCAAACAAATCCTTTATCAGTTCTCTTTAAAAATTCGAATAGGTCTTTTACAGTTCATCCAATGTAGCTATTTCATATAACACCGAAAGATCAATACTTCATGAATGTTATATCTATCAGGAAAGATGAATATTCTCAATTACTGTTTAAACGTAAGAGTATAAAAAATAGACGTATGGAAAACCAACATCACAACTTATTGTTGAATATTTTCAACTTTCATTATTTTATGTTGGCATAGTCGACTACAACAGAAAACGAGTGTGTATATATGTGTATATATGTATAGCAGATTTGTCCATTTGTCTGGTGTCACAAATTGACGTGAGGAAGTGAGTGAACCAATGCCAACGACATTTGGTAGAAGAACTTAACTAAGTGGTCATCGCAAAGGTCAGATTTAAATGGATAAGCAATGGACGAACCTTTTGATTTTGTGAGTTATTTAAGTTTTACCCCTAAAATGCCACAAATGAGGGGGCTCATCTGAGCGAGAAGAGTAGTAGCCGAAGCCAAATTAAAGGGAGATATAATGCCCTCGCGTTGTTCGGGTACCTTTGCATCGGACGAATAGTTCATGTGTTACGGCTCGAAATAGTAAGAGAGGTGGCCCTTTCCCCACTTATAGCAGCATTTTTTATGCTCGTCGTTGCTGGGTGCCTTTGCTAGCGTACATGTGTGTGTGTGTATATGAATGTGTGTGAGTGTGTGTACATTTAAAGTTACAGATTGATCTCATAGTTCTAAAAACAAAAAAATGCTTGAACAGCACGAGAACTTTCCAAAAAATATGAGTCTAACTGAAAATAACAATCATTAAATTTTACGTTTTAGCTTTACGTTTTTATCTTTCAACTCTAGAAAACCGATCGAATGCTGAAAGTAAATCAATTATGCTTGGAAAAATCTCTTTCAACTGGGTTTAATACGTTTTTTTTTCTATTGTTCCTGCTTAACTTGTCAGAACACTTTGCAGCTTTCTTACGATGTTTTAACACAAACCTATATAAGAAATCAATATTAGTGTTTTTCTTGCGAAAACTTGTGTATGAAAGGTGTAAATATCAAAATAATAAAATAAAAATCAGATGAAGTTATTTTTATACACTCTGAATTTGTATGTCATTAATTAGCCAGGAGCTCCGTAGACAGCTGAGGGGAAGGAGAGGGGGGGGGTCATTTATTTATACAAGCGTAAATTACAGGAAACCTAGCATTATTAAAAGTTGTGAAACCAGAAGACAAGTGTTAATTATTTAATCAGAAACTTGCAGAATAACTTCTAGAGGGTCTAATGGTCTTAACAACTTCTAGAGCATGATCAACCTCTGGAGAACTAACTGCTAGTTGTGGGTTACTGTAACTACCTGCATAATGCAGTAACATTTTTGTCTGCGCTTATGTTACGAAACAATGTATGAGGCCCGGCATGGCCAGGTGGTTAGGGCGCTCGACTCGCAATCTGAGGGTCGCGGGTTCGAATCCCCGTCCCACCAAACATGCTCGCCCTTTCAGCCGTAGAGGCGTTATAATGTGACGGGTCAAT